GCTGAGGGATTCTGGGAGTTGAAGTCCACCAGTCACCAAAGGGCCCAGTGGGAAGACCCCTGTCTTAAAGCATCCCGGCTGAGGGATTCTGGGAGTTGAAGTCCCCAAGTCATAAAAGGGTCCAATTGGGAGACCCCTCTCTTGAAGCATCCCGGCTGAGGAATTCTGGGAGTTGAAGTCCACTAGTCACCAAAGGGCCCAGTGGGAAGACCCCTGCCTTAAAGGATCCCGGCTGAGGGATTCTGGGAGTTGAAGTCCCCCAGTCACCAGTTGGAAGACCCCTCAAAGCCTTTAGGCCTCGGGGCCTGCTTCCCCTGAGGTGCCAACCGCTGGCAGGGGTGCGGGTTCGGTTGTTTCTCACATCCTACAGATCCAGATGTTGCTCGATCCAGATGTTGCTCGTTCTGGCAATCAGGCTGAGACCCCCTCCCCCTTGCAGCCCCCTCCCCACGTGGCTGTCCCAAACCGGGCACGATGCCGGTCTGCCCCGTGGCGAGGCCGGCACAGGAGCGGATAGGCACGGGGTTCGAGTAACGCCATACAGAGTTGGGGGGGTTCTTTCTGTGCTGGTCCCCCCTCCCTCCTTGCTGGGGGTGGGTGGGGGGGCTGGTTTAGAGACCCCCACCCACCCACCCACCCAGTGCATGTCTGCTTGGCCCGTTGTGTCCTTTCGAAGTATTTCTCTCGCAGGCTTCTTTGCTTTTAGGCCCTGCGTCTTTTTTTTTTCAGTTCGTAGGGTTGTGTTGTTGTTTTTTGTTTACACACACACAGACACACAGACACAGACACAGACACACATCGCCATGTAGTATGTCTGCCTCCGAACTAGACGGTGTTGTTTCTCTGGGTCATATATGTGGGTGTGCGTGTGGGCGTGCGCACGATCTTTTGTCGTGTTTATTGTGGTGTGCGTTGGGGTGGGGGGGGGCCCTTTGAGAGCTGAGTGCAGCGACATTTCATTTTAATGTGGGCCGATGGGTGTGCGTTTAAAGGGACAAAGTTCTGTTCTATTCTATAATCTGTTATTTCTATTTATTCTACAATGTTATTTCTATTTATTCTACAATCTGTTATTTCTATTCTACTTGTTCTATTATATTCTAATCTTTTCTAATCTGATCTTAACTCTGTTGTTCTGTGAGGGTCTCCTTCTGGTGCAGGGGGTTGGACTAGATGACCTCTGAGGTCCCTTCCAACTATTCTCTTCTCTTCTATTCTACAATCTTAGTTCTATTCTATTCTAAATTCAATTCTATTCCCTTTGTATTCCATTCCATTTTATATTCTATATTCTGTTCTATTTCTATATTCAGTTCTATTCACTTTCTCCTGCATTGCATTGCATCCTATATTTTGAATTCTATATTCTGAATTCTGTTCTATTCTGTATTCAGTTCTATTCACTTTATACTCTATAATTCTGTTCTGAATTCTGTTGTGAATTCTGTTCTATTCCATTCTATTCTAATTCATTGTTCTAATCTATTCTGTATTCTATTCTAATTATTCTCTATTCTATTCTATTCTATCCTATTCTACTAAATTCTATTCTATTCTCTATTCTATTCTTAATTCTATTCTATTCTATTCTACTAAATTCTATTCTATTCTTAATTCTATTCTTAATTCTATTCTATTCTGTTCTATTCTACTAAATTCTATTCTATTCTCTATTCTATTCTTAATTCTATTCTATTCTGTTCTATCCTATTCTACTAAATTCTATTCTATTCTCTATTTTATTCTATTCTTAATTCTATTCTATTTTATTCTATTCTCTATTCTATTCTTAATTCTATTCTATTCTACTAAATTCTATTCTATTCTATTCTATTCTATTCTTTATTCTATTCTTAATTCTATTCTATTCTATCCTATTCTACTAAATTCTATTCTATTCTCTATTCAATTCTATTCTTAATTCTATTCTACTAAATTTATTCTATTCTCTATTCTATTCTATTCTTAATTCTATTCTCCATTCTATTCTATTCTATTCTATTCTATTCTACTAAATTCTATTCTATTCTCTATTCAATTCTATTCTTAATTCTATTCTACTAAATTTATTCTATTCTCTATTCTATTCTATTCTTAATTCTATTCTCCATTCTATTCTATTCTATTCTATTCTATTCTATTCTATTCTACTAAATTCTATTCTATTCTCTATTTTATTCTATTCTTAATTCTATTCTATTTTATTCTATTCTCTATTCTATTCTATTCTACTCTATTCTTAATTCTATTCTACTAAATTCTATTCTATTCTCTATTTTATTCTATTCTTAATTCTATTCTATTTTATTCTATTCTCTATTCTATTCTATTCTATCCTATTCTACTAAATTCTATTCTATTCTCTATTCAATTCTATTCTTAATTCTATTCTACTAAATTTATTCTATTCTCTATTCTATTCTATTCTTAATTCTATTCTATTCTCCATTCTACTCTATTCTATTCTATTCTACTAAATCTATTCTATTCTCTATTTTATTCTATTCTTAATTCNGGGGGTTGGGCTAGATGGCCTCCGAGGCGCCTTCCAACTCTGCGATTCTGTGTCTCCTGCCCGAGCAGGGGGTTGGGCTAGATGGCCTCCGAGGTCCCTTCCAACTCTGTCGTCCTGTGATTCTGGAAGGATCTCCTGCTTGAGCAGGGGGTTGGACTGGATGACCTCCGAGCTCCCTTCTGTTATTCTATAATTTTGTAAAGGTCTCCTGCTAGAGCAAGGGGTTGGACTAGATGACCTCCGAGGTCCCTTTCAACTCTGTTATACTATGATTCTGGAAGGATCTCCTGCTTGAGCAGGGGGTTGGACTAGATGACCTCCGAGGTCCCTTCCAACTCTGCTATTCTAAAATTTTGTAAAAGTATCCTGGTAGAGAAGGGGGTTGGACTAGATGACCTCCAAGCTCCCTTCCAACTCTGTTATTCTATAGTTTTGTAAAGGTCTCTTGCTAGAGTAAGGGGTTGGACTAGATGACCTCCAAGCTCCCTTCCAGTTCTATTCTATTCTATTCTATTCTATATTCTATTCTATTCACTCTGCTGTACTGTAAGGGTCTCCTGCTTGAGCAGGGGGTTGGACTAGATGACCTCTGAGGTCCCTTCCAACTCTGTTATCCTATGATCCTGTGCAGGGGCTCCTGCTTGAGCAGGGGGTTGGACTAGATGTCCTCCGGGGTCCCTTCCAGTTCTATTCTATTCTATTCTATTCTATTCTATTCTATTCTATTATTAAAATGTTATTTCTATTCTATTAATTCTATATTCTATTAATTCTATATTCTATTCCAGTTCTATTCTATTCTATTCTATATTCTATTCAAGCACTCTGCTGTACTGTTTGAACAGGGGGTTGGACTAGATGACCTCTGAGGTCCCTTCCAACTCTGTCATTCTGTAATTCTGTAAGGGTCTCGTGCTGGAGCAGGGGGTCGGACTAGATGACCTCCGAGGTCCCTTCCAACTCATTCCTATCATTTTGTAAAAGTCTCCTGCTTCAGCAAGGGGGGGTTGGACCCTCCCTGCTCTCTCCCCCCCCCCAGGGCAGGGCGAGGGGCTCCATCCTGCCCCCCAATTGGGGAGGGGGCTCTGTTAGGCCGAGAAAGGAGGGAGTCGGTGGGGGGTGAGGGAGGGAGGAAGGGGGCAAGACCCTCCCCCAGCGCCCCCGGGGCTTCCGGCTGCCCCCCCGGCTCTCCCCCCACCAGGGCGGGGAGGGGGGGGCGTCATGCCCGCTCAGGAATCCGGCGCGGTCGGTGCCAAGCGTCGTGGGTGGCAACTGGCCGCCGTGCCCGGTAATCGCCTTAGCCGGCCGGGCCTGCCGGGGCTCGTCCCTGGAATGCGGCTGGGAAGTTTGGCAAAAGTCCTGCTTCCTGCCTCCCACCCCCCCCAACGTTCCCTCTAAAGCCCCCCCCGGCGCCCCCTTTCCCGTGCCCGGCTCCATGGTGGCACCGGACAGGGCGGGGCAAAGTGGCAAGGGAGTAGGTGCCAGGCGGAGGGACGGGGTGGGAGACACACAAAAGGTGACCCTGAGTTGGGAGGGTGGGGGGGGTCTCTCCCCGTCCCATTGGGGGGGGGTCTTCCTGGGGGGGCCTCCCGGGAGGCGCCGGCCTTCCTCACCCTTCTCGTCCTTGCCGGGTGGCATCGGTTCGATTCTGCTGTGCTGTCAGGGTCTCCTGCTTGCACATGGGGTTGGGCTAGATGACCCCTGAGGTCCCTTCCGACTGTTCGATTCGATTCACTCTGCTGTATTGTCAGGGTCTCCTGCTTGAGCAGGGGGTTGGGCTGGATGACCTCTGAGGTCCCTTCCAACTATTCTATTCGATTCTATTCACTCTGCTGTTCTGTAAGGGTCTCCTGCTTGCGCATGGGGTTGGACTAGATGACCTCTGAGGTCACTTCTAACTGTTCTATTCTATTCTATTCTATTCTATTCTATTGTATTCTATTCTGAGTGCTATCTAGGGTCTCCTGCTGGAGCAGTGGGTTGGACTAGATGACCTCCGAGGTCCCTTCCTTGTTCTTCTGTATGGGTCTCCTGCTTCAGCTGGGGGTTGGACTAGATGACCTCCGAGGTCCCTTCCTTGTTCTTCTGTATGGGTCTCCTGCTTCAGCTGGGGGTTGGACTAGATGACCTCCGAGGTCCCTTCCAATTCTTTTATTCTGTAAGGGTCTCCTGTTTCAGCTGGGGGTTGGACTAGATGACCTCCGAGGTCCCTTCCAACTCTGTTATCCTATGATTCTGTA